TTTATTTATGCATACAAGAACTGGGGTACAGGCCAGAGGTGTGTGGGGGGGTGAGTGAGTCACCAGAGACAGAATGGGGAACAGAACAGGCGGAATGACTGAAATACACTGCTGAGGGGAGCAGCACGCGAGACAGGAGAGGTCTGCTGCGCCATGTGGGTATCTCCCTGGCTGGGGATCGAACTCGCGCTGCAGTGGCTGCGGATAGCTTCATAGGTTGTGTCTTAACCTCTTCCACCACCAGGGAGGCCCCATAGGTACTATTATTATACCTATTTTACAGATGTGGAAATGAGGCATAGGGAAAATATTTGCCCAAGCGAGTAAATATTGGCTCCCACCCCAGGAACCAGCTTTTATGACTTGTTAAATAGAATACCTCTCCTCAGTTATATCATTAAATTAATGAAGAGGTATTTTACAGTGAGGGATTCAAATCTCATTTTTCTCTCATCTATAATGTAGTTTTTGCTTTCTTAGTGAACTTTGAATTCATCCATAAATGTATCAAGTAGTTATAAAACATGGTGGGTTGCTTTATTATTTGCAAAAAAAAAAAAAAAAAAAAAAAAATCAAGCCCAAGGTTGTTCATCAGCTATTTCATCGGAGTGATCACAAAACATGCCTGTAGTTGTACTTTTCCCCATCTTCAAGACTGGCTTACGTGCTCTCATATTTCAAAAAACCAGAAGGTGGAGCAATAAATGAATACTGGCACTTCCTCACGAAGTTATTAATGTGTGTAAAGCCGAATAAGCATGCATTTATGAAGGTCCTGGCAGTTGGTATTGTACCTAGGGAACCTGTTGAGGTAATAAACGAACGTTTCTGTGGCTCGTTCAAGAGTTTTTCAGAAGACGCTTACACCAAACAGTAACTGCAGCGCTGAAATGATAACAGAAGCCTCTACTTTTGCAGCTCTTAACGCCTGCAATCGCGAACGTTTGAGCACAGTACCTACCGCAGCTTCCCTACAACGAACCTGCAGACTCGGAACTCTGTTTCTGAAGCTCTCGGTTCCGGGGGGGTGGGGGCGCCCGAGTCGACGAGCACGTGAGCGTGCGCAGAAGCGCTGCACACCCCCCGCCCCCCCGCCCCCCGCCCCGGCCGGGCAGGCGCGCTGACCCGCACCGCCTTTCTTCGCCTGACAACGGGAAGCGAATGCGCGTCGGGGCGCGTGCGCAGACGCGGCCGGCTGCCGGGGCGGTGGGTTACGCCTGGAGAGCGCATGGCAGACAAACTGTACGTCCGTTTGTCCGGAGCCGAGGGGAGAGTGGGCGCCATCTTCTTCTAGGCTCGCTGAGGGCCCTGCCTGCGCTGCGGAGGCTGACGCGACGGAGTGGCCCCCGCCCCCGGCCTTGTGTGTCCGACGCGGCAGCAGCGGTTGTGTGTTTATTGCCAAGTGCGAAGCAGTTACCCTCGGGGCGCCGGGGCCGGGCGCGGGTGGCGGTGGGGCGGCGGGACAGGGAAAGGCGGGGCCGGCGGCCGCGCCAGGAGTTAGCGTAGCTTCTGCCGTTAGGGCCCCCCCTTGCCTTGCCAGGCGCCTCCTCGCTCGCTGTCTCCATGTGCTGCGCTGTGTACGCTTCCCAGTCTTCTTGACAGTGGAGCGCTGCAAGGATTGCATAGGTATTTTTTTTTTTTTCCTTTGCTATGTCATCGTAGCCAGGCGTGGTGGAAGAGCACGGAAGGCCGGGCTCGTTAGCGTTGCGGAGGGCCCGAGTGCTCGGCCGGGTCGGGAGCACCTCGCCCGGGGCGATGTAGGGTGGAATATCTGCCCTTGAGGGACGGCGTAACGGAAGGGCGCGGAGGTTGGGCGGTCCAGGTTAATTTGAAGGCTGCTTTCACTGAAGGTCTGGAGACGGCATCGGATCCCACGTAGCAACTTTGGCCTGGCGCGAAGGAAGGAAGCTCTGAGCCCCGGGAGTATGGACAAAAGCTTTGGGCAATAGAAACGCTATCTTCGGATGCTCCCCGTTTGAGGAGGACGGCTGTTATGGGAAACGCTGTGCCTGTGGATGCGTCTTCATTTGCAGTTCCTGTTGGGGACTACGGCTCTCTGTCGACTAGCCTTTGGTTTTTATTTTAATCATCTACGTTATAAAATGCTAAAAGGCACATCATCATAAAAGATAATTGTGGACCGGGGTAGATTATTTCCTGCAGGATAAACGAATGCGTTTAGGGTCTGTACTTCAGCATAACTTGAGTTTTAGGATATTGTCGCATTTTTCTTAACCTCACTAATTCTGGAAAATGACTTGTTAGTCTCTAGTTAATGATACCTATTTAAATTCATTGGTCTTCCCGTTTTCCGCTTACTCTTGCCTTTGCATAATCTTTACTGAGAATGGTGATCACGTGGGATGAATGGTTGGATAAAATCAAAATTAACGTGAGCTTATCAAGTGCTCAAATAAGCCTGTAAGGACCTACTTCCTTTTATTCGTAGGTTGAAAGACCTAATGGATAACTAAAATCATCAACACAGTCACAAAAATAACTTGCATTCATAAGTAGAAAAAATTTAAGTTCAGAGTACTTTGGGGGTGTTTTGGTGTGTTTTCTGTGTAATGTTCTAGAGTGGATTTTCTGCGGAATTTGCTTAAGGAAATAACAGGGAGCTATAGGAAAGGCAATCATTTTGAGAGCTGGTCTGTTGTGTAGATAGTTTTCAAGGTGTGTTGTAGAAGGATAAAAGAGGATAAAAGGTACATTAAGGTACTTAAGGGCAAAGAAAGTTTAAGCATTGGTTATATTTAACTCACAAATAGAACAATTATTTTAAATTAGTCTGCTTGAATTGGAATTAATGAGATTTGTACTCATGTACTGGTGAGAATTGTACTACTTAAACATTGCTTTTAAATGTGGTGGCTAGAGAGGATAACTTATTAGAGAGTCTTAGAATTTGACATAAAATTATTCCTTGACACAGTTCAAGGATACATTTATGTAGATACATTTATGTCCACTGGTCAAATTCCTTCTACATATGTTAAAAAATGTGTAGTAGAGGCAAATGAAGGGTGGCTTACACTGCTTTCTAAAAACACATTAAAAGCCAAAAAGGAGCAAAGCAGTTTGCATAGGAAGAGAGCCCTGGAATTTAAATATGAATAATTATTTCAGAAGGCATTAATAGTTTTTATTACAGTATAGCTGGGGATATTGGTTTGTTGAAGGAACTAGGCTTATACTGAGATTCAAAATTTTTTTTGGTATTTTTTTTAATAGACATTCTTTTAGAACTTCTTTTTGAACAAAATGTACAAAAGGTAAAGAAATTTCCCTTATACCCCAACTTCCATATATGTATCCTGAAAAAATTTTAGTAGTAAACCTCACTAATATTTTTGTTATAAACATAGCATTAATAATAATGCAGATGTGGAATATGCCAAATAATTTATAGATATTAGTTTGTAGTTTGCTATTTTAGTTTGTAGTTTAAAAATTATAATTTATGAGCCTTTTTCAAAGGAAAATAAATCTCGCTGACCTCAAAAGATTATGTGGAGGAGTGTTATGTCTAAGTACTGAGTTGAAACATTTATTTACACATGAACATAAAACTTATAATTATTAATTTAGCAGATCAATTATATGGTAAGACTACATTAATATTATTTTGGATATCTCTGAAAGTGGTAGATGTAAGTTTCTTAAATATTAAGTTGAGATTTTTCAATAGTTAACACGATCATCACCAAATATTCCAATTTAATATATTTTTTCTTTTCTACATTATCACTTGTGTTTCCTCAGTAGAATATAGACAGTTGTTTGAGATGGATTAAAGTTAGTGACATTAAACTTTTGTATTTGAACATTTTTTGTTTGGCTTGAGATAGTTTAATAGTAATTTTTAGGAGTTTATGATAAAATCATGAGTAGTAGTAGCTGAGATTTTTGAATTTTGGGTTATTTTGGTGTTTATTTGCCTTACCTATAATGGATTCAGCAAATTTTGGTTTGATGTGTGGAAGTGTGAGCTGTATAGATAGAACATAAAGTTATATCCAAATGATAGCGATGGCTTGGATTTATTTTTTTTTTAAATAGAAGCATGTTTATTTATTTATTTATTTATTTGTTTGTTTGTTTGTTTGTTTATACATGCACTGGGTACAGTCAGAAGCGCAGGAGGGTGAGAGAACTCACCAGAGCCAGAGCGGGGAGCAGAGCAGGCAGAAGGACCGAAGGACACTGCTGAGGGGAGCAGCGGGCGGCAGGAGAGGTCTGCGCGCCATGTGGGACCCTCCTCCGGTGGCGAGCTGCGGGGATCGAACCGGCGCTGCAGAGGCTGCGGGCAGCTTCGCAACCCAGCGCTCAACCGCTGTGCCACCGGGGAGGCCCGATGGCTTGGATTTACTACTTTAAAAATTGGTTTTTGAATTTGAAGCATTAGAGTTTTGTTTAATTGTAGCATTTCAGTGGTTGCCTTACTTTGATTTTGTCCTGTGCTTGAATAGGAAAGGAGACTGGCAAGTGAGTTATTGCAGGATAAACAAATGCATAAAAGATGTTTAGTCTTTTCACTGGTGGAAGTGATAGGATTTTGGCAATTTTTGATGCTTTCAAATTATGATTTTACTTTTAAAAGATTTTTAAAGTAGATATAACATTTGCATATAGTGGAATACATAGACCTTAAGGATAGAATTCATTCAGCCTTGATAAAATTTATACACTTATGTAACCTCTCCTCCAGTCAAAATATTTAACATTTCCATCACCCCTTTCCTCATAACACTTCCAATCAAGGAATTACAATTTTAGGTAGGTTTTTTCCTTTTTAAAAACAATTTGCAGATGTCTGCTTGGAATATGTGCCTCTTTCTTGCTGAAGGTTGATTAATTTCCCTTGGAACAAAGAAGACTATTTGTAATGCCCATAGTTGTGATTTCTTTCTTATCTTGCCTCACTTTTAATAGGTAATTCTGAAGTGAATATCATAATCTGGCGTTGTTTAAGCTCAATTACAGAGTCCAAGGATTAATTATATTTCATTTTCTTTCCACAGTTAAGTTGCTTTTACAGAATTAACAGGTCTCCAAGAAATTAAAAAAAAAAAGGTAAGATATCCAGAGCTTAAGGCTTTTCACAGAGACTTGAAAAAAAAAATGTAAAGTAGAATAGTGCATCTAGGTACACATGGATTCTGAACTCTTATGTCTGGTCAGTGATTCATTAGTGGGAGGCAGTTTATTTTGAGCAGAAATTATATACTGACCGTAGATGGCTTTTCTGAATTTGTAAAATTTATTGTGGTTGGTAAAATTCTTTAATACACAAAGCTTTCTTTAAGTTTCAATAGAAGATATGTTTCTAAGTGAGTCTGAAAATAGTTTGGTCTTGTTGTGAAGCAGCACTTGGCAGACTTATAAAGATTTGCTATTTTCGATGCTCATACTGTACGGAATAGGTGATATGAAATGTTTCTTCAAAGTAGTTGGTTTATTTGTATATTTAGAATGGGAATTTTTTTAAAAAGAATTTTTAAGTCAGTTATTTGTGAGCTTATATCTTGCTTTCATTTATAAAAGCTGAAGGTAGGAATCAAGTAATTTAAGCTAAGTTTGGGATAAGGTACTTCAAAAATAAGACTTGCTATTATGTGTACCTTTTTGTCTACAGGTCATTATTGCTGTGGTTTGAGCTCAGCATGGCTGTAGTCATCCGTTTACTGGGGCTTCCTTTTATTGCGGGGCCTGTGGATATTCGCCACTTCTTCACGGGATTGACTATTCCTGATGGAGGAGTGCATATAATTGGAGGGGAAAGAGGGGAGGCTTTTATTATTTTTGCAACAGATGAAGATGCAAGACGTGCCATAAGTCGTTCAGGAAGGTTTATCAAGGATTCATCTATAGAACTCTTTCTTAGTAGTAAGGCAGAAATGCAGAAGACTATAGAAATGAAAAGAACTGATCGCATAGGAAGAAAGCGACCAGGATCTGGGGCATCAGGGGCTGGCAGCTTATCTAATTTTGTTGAGGATATTAAGAAAGAAACAAGTAATTCTGGATATGACTCTTCAGTTAATCAAGATGATGGGTTTCATACCAATGGTACAGGACATGGTGATTTAAGGCCAAGAAAGACACGGCCATTGAAGGCTGAGAATCCTTATTTGTTCCTACGAGGTTTGCCTTACTTAGTAAATGAAGATGATGTACGTGTCTTTTTCTCTGGTTTGTGTGTGGATGGAGTAATTTTCTTAAAACATCATGATGGCCGAAATAATGGTGATGCCATAGTAAAATTTGCTTCGTGTATTGATGCTTCAGGAGGTCTTAAATGTCATAGAAGTTTTATGGGTTCAAGATTCATAGAAGTAATGCAAGGCTCAGAACAACAGTGGATTGAGTTTGGTGGTAATGCAATTAAGGAGGGTGACATTCCTATGAGAAGTGAAGACCATTCTCCACCAAGAGGCGTTAATGATAGGCATTTTGGAAAACAGTCATGTTCAAAATCTCCCAGAAGAACACGTTCTCGTTCTCCTTTTGGATTTTATGTTCACTTAAAAAATCTGTCCCTAGGTATTAACAAAAGAGATTTAAAAAATTTCTTTAGAGATACTGATCTGTCCAGTGAACAGATTAAGTTTTTATATAAAGATGAAAGAAGAACAAGATATGCCTTTGTGATGTTCAAGACGCAAAAAGACTATAACACAGCTCTGGGTTTACATAAGACTGTTTTACAGTATCGCCCAGTTCATATTGATCCAGTTTCTAGAAAACAAGTGCTGAAGCTCATTGCATGTTATGAAAAGAAAAGACCACCATCAATAGGGAAAGAGAGGCTTGGACATGTTTCTCAAAAATATTCTCAAGAAGGCCACTCTGGCCAGAAGCTGTGCATCTATATAAGAAATTTCCCATTCGATGTTACAAAAATTGAAGTGCAGAAGTTCTTTGCAGACTTTTCGCTTGCTGAGGATGACATTTACCTGCTTTATGATGACAAAGGAGTTGGTCTGGGTGAAGCACTGGTGAAATTCAGGACAGAAGAACAGGCCATGAAAGCTGAACGGTTAAACCGACGAAGATTCTTGGGGACAGAGGTATTACTGAGACTTATATCTGAGGCACAAATGCAGGAGTTTGGTGTAAATTTTCCATTGATGTCCAGTGAGAGGATGCAGGGTCATTCGCAGTCATGTGATAGAGAGGACCATTTTCATTCATTTGACTCAAATGATCCACCAGTACACCCAGTTGGCCTTTCTGAAAACTTGAGGCATCAGCAAGAGGACTTGAGACACCTGGATAATTTCAAGCACCCTCAGTCAGACAGGCGCCCTCCAGAAGACTTTAGACATTCCCCAGAGGACTTTAGGTGCCCCTGGGAGGAGGACTTCAGGCGCCCTCGGGAGGAGGACTTCAGGCGCCCTCGAGAGGAGGACTTCAGGCGCCCTCGAGAGGAGGACTTCAGGCACTCTTGGGAAGAGGACTTCAGGTACTCACCGGAGGAGGACTTCAGGTACTCACCGGAGGAGGACTTCAGGCACCCTCGGGAGGAGGGCTGGAGGCGACCACCTGAGGAGGATTTCAGACGGCCTTCCAAGGAGGACTTCAGGCGACACCTGGAGGATTGGAGGCGGCCTGCCGAGGGAGACTTTAGGCGGCTACCTGAGGAAGATTGGAGGCGGCCTTTTGAGGAGGACTTCCGGCGTCTTCCGCAGGGGGAATGGAGGAGACCACCTGAGGAAGACTTCAGGCGGCCCCCTGAGGAAGACTTAAGGCGTTCCCCCGGGGAGGACTTCAGGCGGCCGGCCCAGGAACACTTCAGGCGCCCACCCCCAGAACACTTCAGGAGGCCGCCCCCGGAGCACTTCCGGCGACCTCCCCAAGAGCACTTCCGGCGGCCATTCCCAGAGCATTTTAGGCGACCTCCTCAGGAGCATTTCAGGAGGCCACCACAGGAACATTTCAGGCGACCCCGAGAGGAAGATTTCAGGCACCCACCAGATGAAGATTTCAGGGGTCCTCCTGATGAAGATTTTAGGCACCCTCCTGATGAGGACTTCAGGAGCCCCCAGGAGGAAGATTTTAGATGCCACTCTGATGAGGACTTCAGGAGGCTCCCTGAGGAAGACCTCAGGGAAACTTCAGAGGAAGACCCTAGACTTCCTGACAGTCTTAGACCCCCTGGAGAGTTTCGGAGCCCACCTGATGATTTTAGAAGTCATCGACCCGTTGTGAATTTTGGTCACCCAGAAGGTGGCAAGTTTGATTTTGGAAAGCGTAATATGGGAAGTTTTCCTGAGGGGAGATTTATGCCTGATCCAAAATTAAATAGTTCAAGTAGAGTAACTCCTATTAAGATAATGAATCTTCCATTTAAAGCTAATGTTAATGAAATTCTAGACTTTTTCCATGGTTATAGAATCATACCTGATTCTATTTCAATACAGTATAATGACCAAGGATTACCTACAGGGGAAGCCATTGTTGCTATGATAAACTATAATGAAGCTATGGCTGCTATTAAAGATCTAAATGATAGGCCAGTTGGCCCTCGCAAAGTTAAGTTAATTTTGCTCTAGAGAGCATTTCTAAGTTCAAAATTAACCTCCTCACACAGTATTGATGCAGTAAAATGCATTTGTTATTAAAAGGTGTTTTTTTTTAATTAAATGAAGAAACGATTTTATTTTGATCTGTGAGTAGAACAAATGTAAATATTATGTGAATCTGTTTTCTTTTGCCTGCAAATTGCCGTTCACCTTTTCTAATTTAAAATTATATATATATTTTTCCCTGCGGGTGGGGGAGAGAATTCCCTGAGTTCATTAATTTTTGTTGATGCCTCAAGACTTGTGTAAAGTAGAGTTGTATTTGGGGAGGATGAATTTTATATTTGCTTTTGTTTCCATTTGTCGTTTACATCTTTTACTCAAACTATATAAGGAAAATGGTCAGTGACTATTGTTCAGGTTTAGCATTTTTATTGATATTGGCTGCAAATTAATGCCCTCTTCCTTGTCTTGAAATATTACTGTGTTAAGCCTCCTGTTAACTATATATAGTTCAAAATGGACAGACTGTGAACTTAAAAGTTTACGTATGTAAAAAGCTGAGGAGATTCTTAAAGTTTCCATGTTCATAACTTTGCGAAGTTTTATAAAAATAAAAAAGATTGCAACTGAATAGACCAACTAAGTAACTGTACTTGTATTTATATAAAAAGAAAAAAGAATTGCAGCTTCTTTTATGAAGATTTTCAACAACTACATAAAAACAATATTTATGATAGATGGGACCAAATATCCTATAATAATAGTGTAGAGTGTTGTATATACTTCCATGGTTTCCTCAACATCTCATCAACCAAATTTGTAAGATTAACTTAAACTACTTAAGTCAAAGATAAGGATGTAATTATAGGTACGAGGACACTTAAAGGCTTGTGCTGGGAAGAATGTGACAGATGGATATAGTTTATATAGCTAGGAATGATTCACTGATAATTCATATAACGTATATTTTTAATTAGAACAATTTTTAAAATTTTGAAACTTTGTACCCATTTAGTTTTTTTTTAAACCCAGTAACTAAATATGATGCTTATGTTGTTGAATTTTGACTTCTTTGCTTCAACATTTAATGTAGACATTTTGTAAATACTGGATTTAATTTTCTGTATCCCTAATGATAATATGGTTAACATTTACTGGGCACTTAACTACATGCCAGAACAGTAATGAGCACTTTACATGCATAATCTCAATCTTGATTCCCCAGGCAGGATAGAGTATTCTTTACCTTTGTTTCACAAATGAGATAATGAAGTTTACATTGGTTAAGTGATTTGCATAAAGACATTGTTTAGTAAATTAGACTAAACAATGGTTTAGACCATTGACTTCATGTTCCTGATTTTGTTTAAAGTGTCACATTAATTTTAGTAAGAACCATGCTAAAAATATTTTTAAGAATGATACCTTCTTACCTCCACTGTTTTAAAAGTAGCATTAAAAAAGATAAATTTACCATGCTGTAGCATTGTTAGTGAAAGACAAAGTAACTTTAAAAGTTTTTATATATCCAGGTTTCTCTTGCATACTAACATTTTGTGTGTGTGTGTATACATAGATATATACTTCTAGTTGAAAATTGTTTATTAAACATGATTTGACTGGTATTTTATAGTTTACTTAAAACACAGTTAATTTTTCTCAATGCTGTTATCCAGAAATTTCCCAAAATGAACATATAGGCATAAAATTTGAATTTATATATGGTAGTTTAGTCATTTGATAATAGGATTTTTCAGAAGTAGGATACTTTGTCAGTACTTAGTCAGTTAGTACTATAAATATTTTGGATTGTTTTCAGTGATTTAAAGAAGCCTAGGAGAAGTCAACCAAAGTTTCTGTGTTTTAATAACATATACTGCTTCCTAGTATAATGAATAAACTGGTAAATTTGGTTCAAAAAGGCACTTTAATAAGCTTACAAATAACTGGGGAAATGATTAAATGTTCAAACCAGCAAAATGAACAAATAGGAGTAAATATTCTAAATGCCTAATGATTATATAGATGGTTCATTTGATCAGCCCCTTTAAGGGATATATAGAAGACTTAATGAATTCTTTTCAAATATCAAGCTGATACATATGCTCAAACTAAGCTGGTGTGGGATGATGGTAGATAAAAGACCAACAATAGTAAACACTGGCTTTGTATTTTGGTTTCAAAATGGATGGGTTGACAGGAATATTTTCGTAATCTGTTTAAGATACTTCTTAATTAACTTTTTAAAATCGCTTATATAGGAAGTAGGGTTCTGCTGATGGGAGCCTTTTTTCACATCTTCCAACTTTGTCTTCAGTATAATGTTGATAACTAAAATTGGCCATGGTAGGAGTATTTTACACCACGTAAATTGGCAACTGCAGTGCATTGGGGCATTTTCCACCCGAGAGAACCAGTTTGCCAGCACACTGTCAATTTCAAATACGTAAGAGAATATTGTATTAGATGCTTATATACCCAGCTTTAATAATTATCATTTCATAGCTAGTTTGGCTTCCTACTCCCAGATATATTAGGTATACCAGGGGTATATTGGGTATCTTAATTCCCAGTGGCATTTTAATTATCTTAGAGACAAACTTTTTATCTAGAAGTTACCTGAAAAGCATAGATCATGCTTAAAAAATAATTCTATAACCAAGAGATAGGTAAGACTCATTGTATTAGGAGTGCTCTTTTATCCCTTACTGAGAAGGTTGTTAAGAACAATGGCTTTTTTCCCATCTATGCCTATAAAGCAGTGACCCCATCTTTGTATTAAACGTAAGCTGTCATTGAGCTGCATTACATGGTTTATATTTGTGGTCCGTAATTACATATGAATTGACTCACTTTTTTCTCAATAATCCTAAGTATTTTAGAGATTAGAAATGGAGATGTATAGGCTAAATGACAGGTCAGATTGGTTGCTTTTTTACAAGGAAACTAAGTTTTTACATTTTTAATTGTTTACATCTTAAATGGTTATGTAAGTACCCATGTTTAGCCTTGATTTTTTTTTCCTCTGGACTTAACAGTGAAAAAAAATGTGGCTTTTTAAGAAAGTTTGGCAGCCTACATCTGGTCTACAAGAAACTTATGTTTACATTGTTAAAAGTATTATCATGGATAGTATTCTTTTGTGTTTAGAATATTTCTCTGAGGTTGGCAGAGCATATATTTTATGTCAGAATTATTTGCTGTTTGCTTTACATCTCAGGCACTGTTTTAACTTTACAAATCGGGCAACAGGTGCTCAAAAGGAGTGAATTGCTATAAACAGCAAAAGAAACACCAATATCAAATTTAAATATTGAGAAGATGAAAATGCAATATCAATTTTCTAAGAGTATCCATATTTAGGGTGTTAAGAGTACTGAAATAATCTTATGTCTGTTCTCAGGAAGGAGTGCTTTGTTAAGATCAGAATGATGAGTGACAGTCAAAAAAGCTTTCTAGAAAGTCTTTATTTTTCTGATATAATTGCTTTTTGTGGTTATCCCAAAAAAATTTTATAAATTTCATTATTTTTATATGCCTGACTGGAATCCATGAAACAAAAGTATCAGATATAATGAAATCAGATACTACAATGAATTTTTTTATATTTTCAGGAATAAAAAGTGACTGTATACTCTTAACAGGGGTGACAGTTAAAATTTTTCATGAATTTTTAATGATTTATGGTTTTCCATTTCCATGTTTTCTTATATTCCATCAAATTAAAACTTTCCAGGAATTGTAGAACCATTTAGCATGGTAGCATTTTAAAACCATAACTAGGCAGAATGTGGCTTTTTTGAATCTAAAATGTACGCTCTTTGTATATTTATGAAACTGATATCCTAGTGTCCCATTACCATAAAGAATGATTATTATGCTTTTTTGCAAAGTAAATTTCTATATACTAATGGTAAAATTTCAGGGTTTCGTAAAAGTGGAAAAATTAAAAAAGGTAAGATGTCTTTTGCTTAAAGCTTTTACAGAATTAAATTTGTATTTAATCAAAAGGACTCTCTAGAATCCTTTTCTGGTGATAAAAGCAGGGTATTTTAACTTAAAGGAAGTGGAATTACAAGATTTTGGGTTGTTTGTCACCTACTACTTCAAGTAAATACAGTGCATTGGTATGAAATACTTTTGAAATAGTTAAAAAAAATGGAACACTACAGAACCACATACTACTAGGTAGGATACTGAAATGAATGACTGGAAAAACTTGTGTAGTATTTTTTAAAACCTTCATTTTTGGTCAGCATGAATTTCCTTTAATTATTTTTCCATTTCCAGTAGAAATTTAATGTATCAAGTCAGTATAAAGTTTTATAATTTAGTAATCCTGAATTCCAAGTCATTCAAGATGAAAATGGAAATATAAGTTTATGTAAGAAAATCAGTTTTCTTCTGTAACGTCTAAGTCGTCTTCATCATCTTCATCATCATCTGCTTGTTGATCCTTTCTTAGTCGACAAGTGGATACCTATTAAAAGTTAACACATTAAAAAATACTTGAAAATATTTTTACATGCTTTGTATCTACTTGTATGCTGTTATAGGAAAAAACAGAACAAATATTTCAGAAAAATGTCCATATGTAACAATTTTTAGTAATGTAAAATTCCCTATGAATTATTGTATTTAAGGTTGAAAACAACCACAAAGTTTTTCATTCATCATGTTATTTTTTGAATAAAAATTTGAAATTAACCATTTGATTCTAGTTGAATACCAGTATTTCAAGAACATAAAAGACTTTCAGTACAAAGTATAGTTTCAGTTTATGATTAGTGTGAAAAATGGCCTAACTTAAATAACTGTCACAAAAAAACAGGTATTTGAGAATCATCAAAGCAATGGCAAAAATAAAATATTTCAACTTGTGCAGCTGTAATACTAAACTTTAAAACTAGTATGATTTAAATGGAATGAGTTAAGAAATTTAGGCTTTAGGTTGTGATATTTATCGCTTGGCTCACCTTGCCTCCATACCTTTTTGAGGGTGAATTATAACTCCAGGGGACATTTGGCAATGCCTGAAGACAGTTTTGATTGTCACAACTGGGCATGTGTGCTAGTGACATCTTTTGGGTAGAGGCTAGACATTTGTGCAACATCTATACAACGCACAAGACAGAACAGTACTTACCCTCCTTTGTCAGGTTATCTGGCCCAAAGTCAATAGTGTTGAGGTTGAGAAACCCTGGGATAATGCCTAAAGTGCTACAAAGATGTTAACTAACTTAGGGTAACATTCTAAATAGTCAAAACTTTGTACTATGATAGTAGTTTGGGATTTATGTGTTAGGAACTTACTGCTGGAATAATAAAAATTTGGTTGAGGGGAGAGATGTATAAATACAAAGCAGTAAATAAATGGCTAGAGGATAACCAAAATAGGTGTTGGGTCAGTTTTACCTCAAAGTTGTATTTTGAAAATATTTGGCTCAAGTTTTAATTCTGATGGCTAGATGAAAGGACACACCTCTCTAGATCAGGAGGAATTGGCCTCCTGTTTATTTATTTATTTATTTGTTTGTTTGTTTTGTTTGTACATGCACTGGGTACAGTCAGAAGTGCGGAAGGGTGAGAGAATTCACCAGAGCCAGAGCAGGGAGCAGAGCAGGCAGAAGGGCCGAAGTACACTGCTGAGGGGAGCAGCGGGCGGCAGGAAAAGTCTGCGCGCCATGTGGGACCCTCCTCCAGTGGCCGGGGAGCAGCCGGGGATCGAACCGGCGTTGCAGAGGCTGCGGGCAGCTTCGTAACCCTGCGCTCAACCGCTGCGCCACCAGGGAGGCCCTGGCCTCCTGTTTTTATAAAGCTTTCTTATAACAGCCGTACTGACTTGTTAATATATTTATTACTACTCTTAGACCACAAAGCTGGTGTTTTCTCTGACTATAGGAAAAGGTTGTTGACCCCTCATTCTGCATACCAGGTAACTCAAGGCTTTTGGATGTAGAGTGAAAAAACAGGGTCATTATCTAAAGTTCTTGATTTATGAAAATATTCAGCATAAACTCGCCTTAGGTATAATTTCCAATAACTCTTAATAGTGGGATTAAACCCTAAGTAGTTTGACTTCATAATCTGTGTTCTTCATGTTATACTAGAGAATAAATATAGATTAGCATTCTTCTATCCTTTCCAACCTCTGTTCCCAAGTACTCTGCTTTAATGTGTATTATAGAAAGTGGTATAAAAAATTACAGATGCATCTAGTGCAACCTGTCAAAGAAGGTAAGAAGAGGGTAAATTAAAGAGGTCATATGATAGAAAGGAAATGAACAATTCCAAAGGAGCAGCTCATACTCCTTAGATGTTTGGTTTCTAGCTCACCTGTCCTGTTCCAGATACACACTTAGCTGACAGTGATCTCTGAAGAGGTGACTTAGAATTTGCTCTTACAATATCTAAACGAGATGAATAATCTGGTGGATACAGTGAATTTCGGAATACCTGTTGCAAGGATAAAACATCAAGTATATACTAAGCAGTCAAAAAGTAGAAAGTCATGTTCAGTTCACGTCTATTAACACTCTTAAAACACCCCCATAAATAAAACTTCAGTTATAAATTTGAAACAATTAAAAGGTCTTAGTTTAAAAGAGCAAAGTTAAAATATTCTATTTGAACCATGTAAGATGAAGATGGGTCCTGAAACAATCACTTGAGAGGTTTTGCTGGGGAAATACGAAAATTCTTACCTTCAAAGGGAAAGTAGGTCAATACGGAGGCTTTAAATGATACCTTTGATTATTTCTGTTCTGCCTATCCTCAAATTTTACCAATTTAACTGCACTGAAGGACTTTTATACACTATCACATAATAAATTAGAATCACTATAATTTATGGATTCTAATCTCAGGGATCTGGAATACTATTACTTGTCAGTTCTTTTTCCTTAAAGTAGTAGTGTCAAAAATCACCAGTCATCTTTGTCTTCACTGACATTGTCCTGAAACAACATTTCCATAAATGATATTTTTAAACTCTTCATGTTCTGGGGATACTATTTATACTCACAGCTCTGTTCTGCTTTTTAACATCTTAAATATTTTTATTTTTTTTATTATTTTTTAATCTCAGCAAAAATCCCAGAAATTTTTAATAGAAATATTTAGGCAATTCCAAAATAACATCTTAAATATTTTTAAAGGGTTTTACTTGAACCTATTTTTATAAATTTCTCTGAAAGATCTTATCACAGTGTTTAATGGTCATTCTTCAAACAGTTCTCTATACTCTTGTGATAGTCATTTATGGTCCCAACTATCTTTTGTTTTCCTAGACCTAGTGACTATATTAGATTGACCCTTACAATGTAAGGCCTCCCCATACACATAGTAGATCAAGCCAGAAGCCTGGGTATTCTCCCTAACTTTCTCACCTGATGTATGTCTATTTTAATTTACACATCTCTATTTGTAGCTTATTTAGAATTTCCTTAATAAAGATCAAAACACAATG